CCTTAGCGGGACCATCAACGGTCAACTGAGTGGAAGTAGTGGAATGAATGGTTGACATGAGACCCTCGACGATGCCGAAGTTATCGTTCATAATCTTAGCAAGAGGGGCCAAACAGTTGGTAGTGCAAGAGGCGTTGGAGACAATCTTGAGATCAGAAGTGTACTTCTTGTTGTTAACACCCATCACAAACATCGGGGTATTATCCTTAGGAGGAGCGGATATGACGACCTTCTTAGCGCCTCCTTGGAGATGACCAGAGGCCTTCTCACCAGTAGTGAAGACACCAGTAGATTCGCAAACGTATTCAGCACCAGCCTTACCCCACGGGATATCGCAGGGGTTCCTCTCGGCGAAGACCTGAATGGTCTGACCGTTCACAATGAGGGCGTTTTCAGCGACCTCGATGGTACCGTTGAACTGACCGTGTACGGAATCATACTTGAGGAGATACTTCATATAGGGGATGTTCATGAAGGGATCATTCACAGCAACGACCTTCACTTCGGGGTTCTCCATAGCAGCACGGAAAACAAGACGGCCGATACGACCGAAACCGTTAATACCAAGTTGGCACACCATTATGGGTAGTAGTTTATGATGAAAGATAGCAAACTGATAGCAGTTTGATGATGATAATAAAGATAACCTCCTCAGAGAAGTGCGCAGCCAAACTCAGCTCAGCACAAGATACCAACGCTGGGACTTGTGTTCAGGTTTGAGAGATATCCTGTATGTCCTAACTTCCATCCCTTCAGGCGAGCACCTCTATCAAGTGACCGATGATAAGAGCATTAGGATGTGCGAGCGAGGCTTTGATAAACCCAAAAATAAGGCGCATGTGGAAATTGGAAATTGTCTGGAACACACCGGTTCGTAACACGATGCACTGAAGAAGTTTCAATCGAATCTTGCGTTCGATTGGTGCGATTGGAATCATGTAAATGTATCAGTTTTGAGTGCAACAGCAGCTTCGTGAGCATCACACAAATATATCGGAAAGTTGAGGGTAAGATCTATAGTTGTAGGTCGGATACTATCATGGAGATCCCTCATCGCTATCGACAAGTACGGCAGATCCAGACATATAAAATGCCAAACCACACGATCGATGTTCTTATACTCTCTTTCATCAACTGAGAGAGCAACTGCAGGTGAAAAGCCAGAGTTACCTCTAAATGAAAGCCAACATCTCACCCGAGACCGCAATGCAGTCTGTCTTGTCAATTTCGACAAATAAATTGCGATTTCTCACACCAGTTTCCCGTCCTAACAATGGATAAGTGCAACTATATCTCTCACAATTGTCATGTACACAACACGAAATGAATAATGAAAAGCCATCAACCCTGAGGGTTTGTGGAGGGACCCGATGTCCCTTTAGATGAGAAAAGCAGTAAATGGTGAATGAATTGCTGTGAGTCAACTTACTACTGAGAATCGACCTTGTTCATGTAAACGGCGAGATCAACGAGGCGGTTGGAATATCCCCACTCGTTATCGTACCACGAGACGAGCTTAACGAAGTGGTCGTCAAGAGCGATACCGGCCTTAACATCGAAGATGGATGAGCGCTTGTCATGGATCATATCAGTGGAGACAACATCATCATAAGTGATACCCATGACACCCTTCATATCGCCCTCGGAGGCCTCCTTAACTGCAGCAATGATATCGTCATAGGTGGCGGCCTTCTCGAGACGGCAGGTAAGATCGACAACAGACACATCAGGAGTGGGAACACGGAAGGCCATACCAGTCAACTTACCGTTAAGGCATGGAATAACCTTACCGACGGCCTTAGCGGCACCGGTAGAGGCAGGGATGATGTTGGCTTCGGCGCAACGACCTCCTCTCCAATCCTTACCACCCTTAGCGGGACCATCAACGGTCAACTGAGTGGA